CAGCTTCTGCTGATTCAACATCTCAGCTACTTGCGCCGCTGAAATAGAATCTTCTTCAGCCTCAACATCTTCGCTCGCTTCGGATTTATTAGCTCTTTTCCCTCTTGGAGGCATTTTAATAGTTGTAGAATTTATTAAAAGACTTGACGAGGTAGAAGATGTTAAAATTCGTGGAACAGACAAGAGGAGCAGTAAAGACGTCTGCTCTCGCTTGCAACCCGTAAATTTATCTGAGTGACTCTGTTTTTACTAGACACTGTAGCCGTCAGGTACTTTTACTGTAATACATCACACACTACACTAATGTCCATTTACTACCACAGTATGTTCATCTGGCTCCTTTTACTGTTGACTCTGATAACAAACCTCAGAGAGTGAACCAGACTCAAAGTAGGGGTGGTGTTTAAACAGCATCCATGTATCTGACCATATCAGCCCTGTTCTAAGAGCCACAGAGCACCAGAACAAGAGTGAGACTAAAGGAAAGCGGAAGTAAATGTGTGCTGCTACGTTGTGGTGTAAAACCAAAATATATAAGTGAGAAAAAAACCAGAGCACATACAGAGACAGTGGTTTGCAGCTTTAAATTCAAAGATCCTTCAAAACAAAATGTGCTTAAACACTGTTTGGTAGAAACTCTGGCAAATTTATAATATGCCATTAAAAATGTACCACATCTCCAGAACACAGCTGTAAATAAATCCCATAAACTTGGAGTATTACTGTCGATCTTGCATCAAAATACCAACTGTGTCCAGTATCTTGCTACTGTGTGCATGTGGACAGCAGTTTACCTGGCCCTCTACAAATTCACGATGGTTTATCATCTGTTAGAATATTAGTACACAGTCTGCACCTGACTCCCTGTGGAGCTGGTTCAGGCTGTGTGGTAAGATGTGCGAGTCCAGTATTGTGTTGCTGCCTCACAGATCCTCCACCACATCCTTCCTCAATCTGCAACTTCACAGTTTTAAATTAGCACTTTGTGTGTTGACATACTGATGTGCGCTGTACGCTCTCTGCTATGCTCCTTTTCATAGCTGTATTAGTGTTTTCATAGCTGTATTAGTGTTAGAGTTCTCCTTCTTAACCTGAGCCATTTTGTTGTGGTTTGGTTGTTTTCACATGACTTTCATTATAAACTTCTCTCTCTCTCTCACTCTCCCTAAACGTGGCTGTCTGCATTAACCTGATGAGCTAATGCTCAGCGGGTGAAATCAAATTAATCGGGCCTAAAATTAGGCACCAGTAAAGTTGGGGTTCAGGTGGGCCAGTCCAAAGCTCCAGTCACTGCACAGGGTGATCCAGACATGGATCCTGCACCAAGGAGGTTGTGTTTTACCCACGTTTGTTGGGTTGTTCACAGCATACATTTTTTTTGGAGAGGTAGAGTAGATCCATTAGATTGTGATGCTGATCCAGACCGTCACCCAGATCCAGGATTTTTTTAAAAAAAAGGTTCCTCACCACTGTGAGACAGGGCCATTTTCAGTACTGTTGCTTCTAACGTCCCCATAAGATCGACCACACACCACAGTCGTATCTGGATCCAAGTCACATGCTGGATCTGCTGAATGTTTCACAACACCTGAAATGTACACGCTTGTTTTCTGACATGTTTACTTTTATCTGTTATCTCCATGACCCTGTTTGTGTGGTGACTAGGCAGCAGTAATGTGAATTTGTGTCTTTGTGTTTTGGTCTTCATGCACTCATCCTCCTCCAGGTAAACTGAGGGCCTACGACGCAGATGGAGATGGAGACTTTGACTTGGAAGATGCCAAAGTTCTGCTCGGCAAGTGTCCTATAATTCTTCTCTAGTGTTTCTCTGCCTGTTTTCTCTTTCTGATGCTTGACTGATGTGGTTTACAGTCAGATATTAACGGTAACTGCGCTTACACTTTGGTTTGAGCCCTACTAAAGCAGTCCATGAGATCAGGTGCGTCTAAAACTAGCCTTGGTGATGTGGTGACTTGTGTTCATGAATGTCTGGTTGCTTGTTTTGCGGCTGACGGGACAGAACCAACACTGTGACCACAGATATTAATGCTCGTATCAAGAACAGACACAGTGCAGTGTTGTTGGCTGATGTTTATAGGATGCATACAAGCCAAAGACCAGCCATAGCTTTTCAGTTTGCAGAGTGAACTTTGAACAGTAGTAGGTTAAAAGCCCATGTCTAACTCCAGTTAACTGCAAAAGCAGTTTGGTTCTCACATACGGCTTAAATTAGTTTTATGCATGTATCTATATAATTTCAACCATAAAGAGAAAAGTTGTTCACTTAAAAGTGAAGAACAACGCAGAGAGAGCAAATATGCCTGCCCCTATTTGTTGGCAGGAAGTGTGCAGAAGAAGAACAAGCAGGTCATGTGTGCGACGGTCAAATGACCCAATTTCCTCCCAAACCACTGGGTTACAATATGTTCCTCCCAGTTTGGCCTGATCAGAAGCTTCTCCATAAACGTCCACCACATGTGAAACGTCCTGGTCTCTCCACTGACCCCGTTGCTGTCGTCACTCTCCTCCATGTTTATTGTTACCAGTCTGTGAGGGGCCGACACCGAATGATGACAGTCTGTATGTGCAGAGGAGGAGACGTTAAAATGACCACATGGATTCTGATCTGACGGCGCTTGCACAGAGGTCAGAGGTCAGATCTGGCCCAGATCTGGTCTGGTCTGTTCACACTGCTGTGGACACACCAGGTCAGGGTCACTGGGAAGGAAACGTCAGATCTGGGATGTGGACAGAGCCTTATTTTTTTGTCTGTGGTTCATCCGTGACTTCTTTAATTCACTATCTTTCTCTTGTCCCGTATCATCATTCTTTATTTTGGTCCTATTTTTCGTATGTTGCTTGCTCTCCGTTGCTTTGTGCCATCTTCCTCCCTGCCTCACATCTCTCCTCCTTATTCCTTCTATTCCTTTAGTTTACTCCCTAATGGCTTTTCCCCTCTTTGTGCTTCACTTTTGTTTCTTCCCCTGTTCATCTCCGCTTCCTTTGCCATACTGTCTGTCCTTTCTCTTCCCCTCTCTTTCGTCAGGCTTGACCAAAGATGGCGGTGATAGTGCGAATGCTGAGTCACTCGAAGAGGTTCTTAATATTTTAGCAGAGGAGGGCTCTGATTGGATCTATGGCTTCTTCACCTTCCTTTATGACATAGTGTCCTCACCTGTAGAGTGGGGCAAGGAGGATGAGGGGAAGGAGGCGGCAGCCAAGAGGCAGGAGGAGTCCCACATGACCTCCTCAGAGGAGGAGGTCACAGGGGTCATACTGGACCTCCAGAACCAATAGGAGGACAGGAAGCAGAGCCACAGCCAGTAGCAAGACTCCTTGGTCCCATTACTGACCAGCGAGGACCAGACTGGGCTTACTATAGCCCAGTCCAGCTGGAGGAGGACGGCAACGTGTATGTGGTGGTGCAGAGGACCTGATGTCTGGTTTCCACTATGGGAACAAACTGGGCAGATTGGCCGAACCCCAGAATCACAAACTCATCCCTTAACCTCTCAAAGGAATTTCATTAGCCTGAAACTATAGATTTTTTTTTTTTTTGCAACACAGCAGCTGATTGGATGGATTAGCTCAGTGGTGTGTGTTCACTTATCACATATAAACTCTGTCTTAACATAGATTAAATAAATTGTTTACAGAAGAAGTTCATGGCCCTGAACGGTCTTGTAGAAATGTTAATCCCCTTGACACTGAGACATTAGTCGGTCTGTCCCAGTGAACATTTAGTCATCTTTGAAGTGTTTTCACAGCCAGATTGTGTCGTTCTAGCAGCGACTGGCAGGCTGTGTTTCAGCAGTGTAGCCGGCTTGTAAATGAAATGATTCAAATTCAGGATTGATGGTGGGAACAACGCAAAGTATTTTGTCTGTTGTATTGCTACAATGATCGTACTGCACTTCTTTCTGTCCAGCCCGTCGGCCTGTGTCTGCACTTACACCGCTGATATTTACATCAATTCTTTATATTCTACTCGGTCGTCTTTGGTGTGTTGGATCCTGTTCACTCAGATACATTCGAGATTGAAGTACATATTCAAATTAAACTTGACATAATGTGCTGACACAACAGTGTCATTGCAGTTTTTGGTGGTTGTAATAAAAAGACCTGCAGCTCAGTTTGTAGCTGCACTAGCTGTGTTTAGCTTAGTGCTCACATCGCTGTTTCATCTTGCAACTATGTTTACTTCGGCCGTGTTTAGTAAAAGTTAAAGATCACTGTTAATTTATCCACATTTTGGCAAAAGTACAGTATATGCTACCAATCTAAAGTCTGGACACACTTTCCCATTAATCTCTCTCAGCATAAGTCTGCAGGAGATTTTTCCTCATGATTCAGTTATTTTTCTTCGGATTGGACATGTCTAAAGTGATGAGGAGAGGCAGGACACCGTGTATCTTTCACAGTAAAGTGTCAGCTGTCCCTTGTACTGACTTGCTTTGCTGTCTGTTGGTTCAGATGAGAAGTTAAAAGGTCCTGCTCTCGGGAGACGCAGGCTGAGAAAAGGTACTATACGGCGAGTGTGCACGTGTGTGTGTGCGCACATTTCATCACTGATGTTCAGCTGACGGCTCTCCTGACAGATCTGTCTGTTCCCAAAACTTGTAGAGGACAGAAAAGAGGTGAAGGAGAAAGGTAATGTCTCTGTCTCTTGTTGTGTGACCATGTTTTGTGTACTGTGTGATACAGTGAGAAGCCATTACACTGCCCAGAGGTGCAGGGTCAGTTCCCAGTTGTGCCACCTGCAGTAAGCATGAAAGCAGAAATCAAATTTGCACCTGACTGGCAAACTGAGCTTAAGAATATATGCTTCCTTATAGGTTTTGACAGAATATACATTATCCTTGTTTATCCAGACAGAGTCGAGCTGGTGCACGTGTTTACTGGCCTGCCTGGGTATTTGCATCATTCAGGTGCTATGGTGTCGATGCTGGTTTAAGCCAGTTAAGTGACAACTGCCCTGTGTTTGGCTCTTTGTTGCTGAGCTGTGGGTTAAACACCCTGCATAGGTGACTCTGAGCTGACAGACCTTTTTTTTTTTTTTTTTTAAGCTTCAAGTATCAATAAATGAATTAAAGAGTTGATGAATTAATCAAAATAAACTTAGACCTTTTTATAAGTGTTATGACCATTTCAGTACTGCACTTGCATTTCTTCAGACACACACCAAGGCAGACAAGAAATCAGTTTTATTATTGACATTAAACTCTGGCCTCTAGTCACTGGCGTGCTGTAAAATGCACGCAGCAGCATGTCTGCTGTGATGATGGCAGTGAACTCTGCATTGCTTTGTGCTGTTCTCTGTAACAAGTTGTGGTGTGTAGTCTGCACGTTTTGTCTACGTGACCGTCGTTTGTTTTACTGCGGTTAAAACCTCACACTGAACCTCCAACTTCAGACCGACCTCCTGTCTGAGGCCTTCGGCTGTGCTTGGCTCTGAGACAAGAGCTGAGGCTGATCCATGAGAAGATGGAGGCCAAGAGGATCACTCGCATTGCTCTGGCCAAGATCCGGGCCTTGCTCGCTGAAGAAGAGGAGAAGGAGGTGGCCTGGGCACTGAAGATGAAGATGCTGGAGGCTGCCCAGGAGCAACTGAGAGAGGAGAGAAAGAAGGAAGCAGAGAGGATGGAGAGAGAGGCTACAGAGAAAGCTGAAGACGAGATACTGGCACAGGAGAAGGCAGAAAAGAGAGATGGGAGATGGAGAGACTGGCTGAAGCAAAGGCAGCCAGAGAAGAGAGAGAATGGCTGGAGCGAGAGAGAGAGAGCACCTGGTCAGGGAACGAGAGAGAGCAGCAAAGGAAAAGGCAGAGAGGGAACAGCTAGAGAAAGAGAGGCTGGAGAGTGAAAGAGAGAGAATGGCCAGAGAGAAGGAGAGGATGAAGAAAGAGAGAAAGGAGAGGCTTGAGAAAGAAAGGCTGGCCAAAGAGAGAATAGAGAGGGAACAAGAGTGAATCACCAGAGAGAGGCTAGAGAGGGAACGCGTTGCTAAAGAAGGGGAAAGACTTGAGAAAGAAAGGATCGCCAAAGAGAAAGCAGAGAAAGAAAGGCTTGAGAGGGAGCAGCTCGTTAAGGAACGAGAAAGAACAGCCAGCATGGAGCAAGAGAAGGCTGAAAAGGAGAGAAGTGCCCAAGAAAGACAGCGACTGGAAAGAGAGGGCATCGCTAAGGAAAGAGAGGATTGCCAGGGAGAAGGAGAGGGCAGAAAAAGAGTCGAAAAAGAAAGACTAGCAAGACATAAGGAAAGGATGGACAAAGTGGCTGGAGAGAAGGAAGAGGGGGA